GGAGAAAAATCGTTTTAGAAGAAAACATTTGTTTGGAGTGGTTTTGGTCTTAAGTTTGGCCCAAAGATCAGAGGCAATAGTAGTTTCACCTACCTCTTTGATCACATTATTAGACAAATACAGAAATATGGTACTCCAAGTAATTTTCTCAAGTTCATATTTCTTATTAGGTGATAAACCCTCAGGCCATGAATCATCTAATGCCTCAGTAAATTTCATTTGCATCAAAATGGCTTTCATTTTCTGACTCCACATATCAAAATCAATTTTACCATCAAATTGACTCACTTCAAATTTTGTAGTAGCCATAATGCATGCAAGTTATTACAAAATAGAATTTCAGCAAAAAATCAGAACAATTGTAAACAGAAACCCTAAATTGCCAACTTTGAAATCACAGTAAATCACAAAGTAATACAGGATTTCACCAATCTAGAAATATCAACAGAGAGAGCAGGCTTAGTCAATCAATAGAAAACCAATTAATAAGATTAGATTATAAGGTTTCACATATCTCTCCAGCTAGATTCTCCCAAGTTACACACCCGTACTTGATTTATCTCCGATTCCAGTGGCCTCGCATGAGCCACTGGGCAAAAATTAGTCTCAAGGGGGTTTCAACGGTGAACTGACAAATCAGGGAAAGTTCAAGAAACACAAAGTTCTCAAAGGTAATATATAGTTAATTGAAAAGATCTCACCCAGCGAGTTCAATGACTCGAGGCAGTTCAAATATGCTTTTCAGCAGAAATTCAAGATCTATCGAAAATCCATCTTTCTCCCCAAGATTCGGGTATCTTGCTCCTCAGTAAGCCTCTGATACCACTGTAAGGCAAAGGTCACACAATATTAAACCAAAAAGCAAGAAATTGAAATCGACCAAAAGTAAACTATGCAGAAAATTAAAGAATCAAAACAAGATTTCTTTTGGCCTAAGCTTCGGAGGTTCGGCGACCACATCTAACGCCTACATCCCCCGTTGAGCATCCAGCAAGTTGGATTACGCTCGATCGCACTATAATAGCCAAAGATGGCAATGAAGGGTTATAAGAGTTCAACAAATATACTGAGATGAAGCAAAGATACTTATCTCTCAAGATCGACTCAAAACCTTCGAAGAATCACGAAGAAACTTGACTGCATCCCTCTCAAAACATCACAACTGAAGAGGACACAAACCATTACAGATAATCACTCAGAATATCTAAACGAAATCACTAAGACTTTCACATTTAAAGCCTCAAATCAGAGATTTGAGCCACAGAATCAAGCAGAACAAACCCTAACCAGACGAGAGGTTCTCTCTCTCTCTCTCTCTCTCAAAGACCAAGAATAAATGGCGTAAATGGAGTCAATCAAAGTGCCAAGTGAAACGGCATGTTATAATGGAAGGTTCCAGACTCAATCCAACTGCCATGGTTCAGCCACGTGTCGCCATCCAGACGAAAGTGCCAATTTAATAGAGTTGCATTTCCACAAAACACGACTTCACAGTGTAATTAAAATTCTGGAAGCAAAATACCATGGTTCGAATCTCACAGGATTTGTTTGGGACTTATCATGCACGAGGTATGTCCAAGTCATTCGACTATAATCATCCACAATGGTTAGGAAATACTTGGAGCCATCCAAGGAAGGAACATGTTATGGTCCCCTGATATCGCAGTGAATAAAACCAAACATTTTGGAAGTTTTTGTCTCACTACTTGGGAAAGGTAACATGTGTTGCTTGGCCATAGGTCAGATAGTACAATGTAGATGTTCATTGAATGTAATTGTAGGAATAAGTTTATGTAAAAGTAGCAATTTGAAAACGAGAACGTAATTGTAGGAATAAGTTTATGTAAAAGTAGCAATTTGAAAATGAGAACGTGGCCTTAGCGACAATGCCAAACATCAATATTGGTGTTGATTGAACATTGCTCATAGAGCAACAGGCAATATAATCTGCTTAATTACATCTCAAGTATGAAACAGGAATATGCTTGGTGCTCAAAGAAATGGCAGAATTGGCATTGTGAGACAAATCAGTATATGATGTGAGTAGACAAGAATTAGGTGAAGATTGACCATTAAGTTGGTGATCAGATTGTTGAAAGTAGTATAACCCATTCTCAAGTTTGCCTACTCCAATCGTCCTCCATGTTACAATATCTTAGATAAAACAATAATGATATCAAGAAGCAACTATGTTCAAGTGTCAAATTGCTAGTAGATATCAAGTTGAATGTAAAAGATGGCATAACTAAAACATTTGTTAGAACCAATGTGGTAGATAACTTCATTGTGCCAACGTGTGTTAGAGTAGCAATATCACCATTAGGTAGCCTCACAGATGCACTAATAGCAGCAGTCACAGTGGTGAAATTCTTAATAGAACAAACCATATGTTTGGAAGCTCCTGTACCTACAATCCGTTTATCTGCAACTGTAGAAATATTAGAACAAATGAGATTACCTGCAAAAGCAAATGCATCAGGCACTGAAAGGGAGAAAGATGGCACATCTTGAGGTTGTTGATTGCATGTTGCGAGCTGTTCTTGCAAATTTGGCATTAACATAGCCATAATCTGTTGGTATTGGACTGGAGTAATGGTGAGGTTTGAAAAGGGGTTTATTACTTTTGAATTGCTATCATGAGAGACTTGTCCAACATCATTTACAACAGGAGTTCTCTCTTTAGCAAGTCTGAGACTAGGAGGATAACCTATCAGTTTAAAACACTTTCCTTTAAGATGTTCAAGCATTCTAGAACGACTGCATATAGGTCTTTCCTTTTTCTGTGGTTTATTAAGTGAAGTGCCAAAGGATTCGTGCATCATTTTGCTAGCAAAAGTAGCTGCATCAAAAGTCTATTGCTTCTTAACAACAACTTCCTTTTGCCTATCATCTAGTAGGATCAGCGCAAATACTTTATTTAGAAAAGGCAATAGATTCATCAGCAAAATCTGACTTTTCGCGCTAGAAAATTGTTTGCCTAAGCCCATGAGAAACTACATAATCTGATCTTCACGTTTATAATTAGTATTACTAAAGTCTGGTCTATAATTGTCCAACTCTTTCCAAAGTCCTTTGAATCGATTAAAGTAAGAGTTGACTGAACTATTTTGATGTGAACTCGCATAGTCAAATCACTACCAAACCCACAACAAGATTGAAATTGTTCCCGAGAAAGCCAAAGTAAGGTTTTGAATTAAATTCAATAAGTTTGAAACCAAGCAACCCGAATCGTCGACGATATGTGGACCTCTTGATTACGCAAAGTTATATGAATCTCATCCAATTGATTTGAACGCCACAAGATTCGATCTTGATGAGTTAAAGAGTTGTTCAATGAAGAACGAAAGAGAAAAACAATAATGCCCACAATTGTATTCAATATGTCAAAAGTTGTGAAACAATGAAAATCTAAAAGTATTATATTAGACTCCTATAACCTAGCAAAAAACGTGCATAATAATTTAAATATGGTAAGAAATCAAATAAACGTGGAATTCTAGTGGAAATAGAAAATTTGCAAAAAAATTAAAATGCGATTTGGATTTGATCTATGCGACCGCATTGAAGGAATGGATACAATCGCATAGAACACTCATGCGACTGCCTCAAAATCCCTGTCGGTACTCATGTGACCGCATGCCAAGGACAACTATGCGGCCGCGTAGTTGTAACTTTTGGCTCCAACTTTGTCCACTTTAATCATGTTGATTCAATTCACTTTGGCTCTCGACTCCAACATGAAACTTGTTCCATTTTGCGTCCCAAACATAATTTCATCAATAGTAACCTTGATGAGCAACCCCATCGCCTCTTTCACTTGCTTTGCCCTCGATCGCATCATCAGTCCATCGTCGACTATCAATGGATCTTTCCCCAAGCATGGCGTTGGACTTGATTCGTTGTTTGCGTCTCCTGGATCACATTATATTTGCTTGTGAAATCGAAGCAATTTGCTTCTCAAGTTCATATATACGAGGACCATTACCTTGGTAATAACGATCCAAATATGTCTTGGAGAATCCTTGTGCATTATACTTGGATAAAGCTCCTTTGAAATAGAATTGATAATCTAAGAAGAAACCACGTGATTGTACCATCTCTAAACAAATGTAGAGAAGATCATCCTGTGGTGGTTTGATAATTGATCCATCAATGAATCCCTCCTTGTTTTTAACACTGAGCATCATAGTGATAGCACGACTCCATGTTGCATAATTTTCTTCAATGAGCAGGACTGAGACAAGTTGCATCCATGTGTTGTCACCATAATGAAGATAATATGGATTGTTCATATTAGTTATTAATTTGCTGACAAGAAAAGCTACATCTTTAGCAACCACTTCTCTAGCGGGTGATTCGATTGATGAATTGCAGTGATCGGATTGAATTTGAACCTCTGTTTGAACATTGGAATCCTTCTCCATTGTAGGGAAGCTTCACTACTCAGATACCATGATAAGCTGTAGTGAGAAGATTCTAGAATTGAAGATAAAAGACAAATGGCAGGAACTTCTGTTATTCAGTACAATACAAACTAAAGTGGACCAACATGTATATATACACATGTATGCAACAACCTAACTATTACAATGGAATGGAAATGTGCCAAATTACTTAAGTATTTCTATGCAGATATGGCTCAATAGCCTGTTACAAAGAAGAAAAATCAAACGGAGGTGAACAAGCCGTTGAGAGAGAGATTTTCAGAGGATTGGGGTAAATATGATGTCATAGGAAAGTTGTGTAGAAAGATGCTCGATGATCGTTAAAGATTAAAATGATTTCCTTAGTTATCCTGTATTAATTAATTAAATTAACCTTCATGACCACCTGATTTGTGAAATTAAAACTATACCCCCTTACTTTTGAATTGTAGAGGTTATATTTAGGGTTTGGGTTAATTTTCCCAAGTGATAAACAGGAGAAAAGCCCATGACCGTAGGATACTGATGGACAGCCCAACGTATAAAACTGAGCCCAGTCGAACTTTTGAAATAAAATAGAAACCCTTCACTTTCTCTTCTTCCGGTGTTGAGCTTTCATAAAACCATCAAAATAATCCATTCTTTTTCCCAAATTACATTCAAAATATTTGATTTAAAAGTTAGGAAAATGCCGTCAGAAGATTCAAAACCGGTGAAGAAAGAGGAAGTTCAAGTTGAAGATGAAGATGAAGAACAGAGCATAGCATCAGCTTTTGGAAACCGAAAGAAGAAATCAGCCAATAACAGCAATGCCACACCAAAATCCCAGAATAAAGTCAAGAAAGAAGAAAAGAAACTGAAAAAAGAACAAGATAATGACGAATTTGAGGAGCCCACCTCGAAAAAGACGTCCAGGAACTGTGACAGCAAGGTAAGGATTTATCTTATGGGCATCCTACGATTTTCCATTACTGAAAGATGAGTTTGTTTTTTCTTTTTCGATTTTTTTTCCCGAATTATGTTAGGGACAGCAAAAGAAGAAGAAAAATGAAGGGGAGGAGAAGGAAAGAGGGGCTAAAGCAAGTGACAAAGATGCTAAGAAAAGGGAAAGGAAAGTGTATGATTTGCCTGGTCAAAAGAGGGATTCTCCGGAGGAAGTAAGTTTTTCCTTATTCCTACGTATTTCAAATAAAAAGTTTGTTTTGGGGTTTTTGAAGTTACTGATTTGTCTTGAATTGGATTTGCAGAGAGACCCATTGAGAATTTTCTACGAGACTCTGTACAATCAAGTGCCCTCTAGTGAGATGGCCGCAATTTGGTGAGGAATTATTCTTTTGAAACATGTTTATAACTTTCATTAGTCCCAATTCGATGTTGATGCTGTATCAAACTAGGGCCTTCATTTCCTTAAATTGTTAATTTCCTCGGAAAATAGAATTTCTATATCTGGTTGATGCCAAAAGAAATTTACTACGGATTGTTCCATTATTTCTACTTCTGGGCACTTGTTTTCTTCTGGGTTTTATATATTTGTTGTGTTATATACACAAAGGCAGACAAGTTTAACTTTTTCTGTTTACCTAAATACTACAATTGAGCTATGAAAGTTCAACAATTTCTGTTTACCCGATTATATTAACTCTTTGTTTATGTAGCTGGAAGCTTGAGTTTTTAGGTTCTTTATTTTTTAACCATGCATCAGTTACCTCATAGATACTACACTTAAGATTCAATTGCCAAGCCAATCCCGATGTTGCACATTAAGCTTGTTAACCTGTGAATGTTTCTTAGAAATTCTATTGTCATGATCACTGATATGGCCTTAATTTAAATTTGCATATTTCTTAATATTATGTCTGAACCAAAAATGTAAGAACGACTATGATTTCTTTGGCGATATCTGTGATCTTTGTCTCACTTCCAGGTATCGAAGTACCGAGACTGATCCTTGTTTATGTATCATCAATATAAAAATGGATATTTGCATTGGATATTGTTTAACTTGATGGGTAATGATGAGCTTACTATTTATGCAACTTAAGTTGCTATTTGTTCATAAAACTGGTGATTTTTAAAATTCAGTCAGAAGTTTTCACCTCATATATTATAAATGAAGATTCCTTTTTTATTCTGATTTTTTAATCTGAACATAGAGAATGTAAATACCTTGTTCTTTCAACTTAGATTACATTGATAGACTGTTGTTATTTAAAAACCACCACTTATATGAACCTCATATATTATAAATGAAGATTCCTTTTTTATTCTTATTTTTTAATCTGAACATAGAGAATGTAAATACCTTGGTCTTTCAACTTAGATTACATTGATAGACTGTTGTTATTTATATACTTTAAAGATGCATCGGCTGAATTACTTAAGCTGCCTATCATGTGGATAGCTGTAGACTGTATTCTTTTGCAATCAACAATTCTTGTTCACAGAAGCAAGCGGTCCAGAATCCAGAATGCTATTTATGTGAGTGTATGAATATATATGATATTTTTGTTAAGTGCACGAATTTATTTTACATATGCACTAACCTGTTTTAAGTTGATTGAAAACAGGAGAAAGAATGCAGGAATTTTTCAAAAAGTTGGGCGAATATTTGTATACATCTCTTAATGGTTTTGTCAACTCTTAAAGGGTTTTCAATTACTTTTTTGTTCTTGGTTTCAATAATCACTTTCAGTTTGCGATACATATAATAATACTTTACTGAAAAGTCAGCCTGACTATTAGCATTTCCCATTTCCCAAAAAAAATAAAAAAAATACCAAAAAAAAAAAAATGATGTCCTTCAACTCTTTCTCCTTCCTAATGCTCCATGTTACAAGATCGAAGTTAGTTTCGTGACCTTCAATAACCTTCTCGCAAATATGCTTCTATAGTTGAGTGCCCAAGTGTGATGTAGCAATTTTTTTATCGAATGTATCTGCCATCACGTTGATCTTCTGCTGGATAATATACTCCCAGCATGCGATTCTTGGCAGAATATATGAGGTAATACCTAGAATTTGGACTATGAAGATAGTTATGAGTGTGATGGAATGGTAAAATTCTTCAGGACAACGTTTATTCTTGATTTTGGTTCAAAGAGGAAGGATGCGATTTGGTGATTTTTTTGGGAAAGATAACAGGATTGTTGGGGCGTGTTTGGTGGAGAGATTGAAGCCAACTAAAATATTAATTGATGAGAGGTGTGATTTTGCATTTCTTATTCTTACAACAAAAAGTACAGTACTTTTGGCTTTAAAAAATTTTGATAGTATAATTTGAATATTTTATAAAAACAATGTGAGTGGTGTAATTTCCACTACATCTTTCGGCATTATTCACCAACAGATTCTGGGTTTCCTGACATCTTGTGGCTACTTGTATAAGATGTGAATTTCCAAATTGATGCGATTCTTCACCTTTTAACCAAAAATTCAGCAAACTACTCAAGGGAAAAAAAACATATCTCCATTTCTCAAACTTTTTTGGGGTTATAGGGTTAGAATTTCTATTTATTCCTGTGAAAAAGAAAAGAAAAGAAAAGAGAAGAAAGAAAGAAAGAAAGAAACGGAAAAAAAGAAAAATGAGGTAAAAGCTGCAATATTTTCCTGTATGGCATTCTGTAATTTTAAATAGACATCAAACGATTCCAATGTTCAGACATATACTGGAACATTACACAAACATTGGAATGGAAATGATGGAAACGAACAGGTACTCAGAAAGGAACCATTACATCACTTGGTAGTAGACAACACAGAAAGAACAACTGATCACAAGAAATACTTGTGGCATATTATGTAACAAGTACTGATCAGTACTACTTAGCAAACATGTCGCTGACGTTTTAACCCTCATAGTGCTCTTCATCGCCCTCCTCCTCATAGTCTTCTTCTTCCTCTGCAGTGGCATCCTGGTATTGCTGGTACTCTGCTACCAGATCATTCATATTACTCTCAGCTTCAGTGAACTCCATTTCATCCATCCCTTCTCCAGTGTACCAGTGCAAGAAGGCCTTGCGTCGAAACATGGCCGTGAACTGCTCGCTCACTCTCCTGAACATTTCTTGAATCGAAGTTGAATTACCTATGAAAGTGGATGCCATTTTCAGGCCAGTTGGTGGGATGTCACAAACGCTAGACTTCACATTGTTCGGGATCCATTCAACGAAGTATGATGAGTTCTTGTTCTGCACGTTAAGCATCTGTTCGTCGACCTCTTTGGTGCTCATTTTCCCTCTGAACATGGCAGAGGCTGTCAGGTAGCGGCCATGGCGTGGGTCAGCAGCACACATCATGTTCTTTGAATCCCACATTTGTTGAGTTAGCTCCGGGACAGTGAGAGAGATGTAGTGCTGTGATCCTCGTGAGGTGAGTGGCGCAAATCCAACCATGAAGAAATGAAGACGCGGGAAAGGTATCAAGTTCACAGCGAGCTTTCTGAGGTCTGAGTTCAGCTGACCGGGAAATCTCAAGCAGCAGGTTACACCACTCATAGTTGCCGAGATCAGATGGTTCAAATCACCAACTAATAATAAGAAATATTACAAACAGAATAAACATTAAAACACAAAAACTTGCAACAGGTTTGGTAGAAAGATGGCAGAGTACTGGACAGTTTAACAAAATAAAACAAAAAAGCCAACATCTTATTATCATCATTGTACTGTCCAGTCCTAATTGGAAGTACTAACCTAACATGCACTTAATTTTCTTTGTTCTAGAAGTGATAAGTTCGATACTCACAGCTTGGATTACTAAGCTTCAAGGTCCTGAAACAGATGTCATAGAGCGCTTCATTGTCAAGAACCATACATTCATCTGCATTTTCCACCAACTGGTGCACTGAAAGTGTAGCATTATAGGGTTCTACGACAGTGTCCGAGACCTTTGGTGATGGAAAAACAGAGAAAGTGAGCATCATTCTGTCTGGGTATTCTTCTCTTATCTTGGAAATTAGGAGGGTACCCATGCCAGAACCTGTCCCTCCTCCAAGTGAGTGACACACTTGAAATCCTGCCAACATAAAACCATTTGGAGAAAGCATATCAGTTAAAATATGTATTACATTAGTTTTCATTGACCAGCTCCCATAAGGAACAGTAATTTGCAAAAACGACTAGCTATGACCTGTTGGCAAAAATAGATATTAATATACAGGCTTCTCTCTCAAATGAAATTACTGACTGAAAGCATATGCAACAAGAAACCAGTATGTTCTGACGGTGAAAAGATCACTGGGCAAGCTTCATTTAGTAACAAAGAAAGCAAACTGGAATTGTGCTGTCCCACGTCAAAAATTTTACCAAAAGCAGCACGGACGTCCAAACAAAAATATTGAAATGATTAGGAATATAGACAACACTGATGATTCAAAAACACTTTCTACCATCAATTTATAGCATGTCAAAAAGTAAATAACTGAGCTTCCATACGAGTCTTTAATAATTTAATTTAACTGAGAATCTGAAAGTGACCTTCAGATATCCTTTCAAAGTGTTCTACCATAGTCAAGTAATATGTATTAGTGATTTACTAGCTTCTCAAGTTATGCTCGATCTTTTACCATAATCTTTATCTTCCTGAAAAACAATAATGCTATCTAGCACCACCATTAATTGTCCAATGAATCAAATCCCAACTTCATTGAAAAATTAAATTTGGACTCTTGCTGGTACTAGATAGCATTATTGGAAGTGAAAAAGATACATCAAGGTGGTGGGTGTAATTGTGCACTGAAATGGCCTACGTCTAATGTGCTGGATCAGGCCCATCACTTAAAAAATTGCAATGGCCCAGCATGGATCGTGGGACCAGCCCATGTAAGTTTGAGCTAGGCCACTTGAAGTGGGCCAATAATATCATTCTATTAAAGTATTTTGAAGAAAATTAGTTATACAAAACACCTACTTTTGTTAAAAAATTAAAAAATACCCCATTTCCATTCTTAATCATAGTTCTCATTTTAATCAAACCTTCAACAAACGGACAATGCTTCACGTACATAAATTTTTTTTACCTAATCATTTCCCTACTACTCACAATAAGGGATGGAGACCACATTTGAAAAATTTTATATTCGTTCGGGTCACACGTGCATTGTGAGAGGGGGAACAACTTTTGGTACATTCTATACTTTACAAATAGAATTATTCTTAACAAAATTCACCCCGTTTTAATTATATCCATTTTTTAAACACACATTTTCCCACATCATTTCAAACAGACAAACACTGACCAAACATACGAAACCTTAAGGCTTAAACATTCCATTTTTAAAAATACCCCCCCCCCCAACCCCCTCCCCCCCCCCCCACAAACA